TTACTACTTTGAAAAATATGTTTGTGTATAGAAAGCATATCCTTTCTACAAAGCCTTGCAGCAAATTATTTGATTAGTGTAAATATAAAACTTATCATCAAGTTACAAAATGAGAAATCCAGGCACAGAAAAGTATGAATATCTTTTTTCAAAATCATACATTTAGTAAATTGGATAGGCCTGGTTACATGCAGAAACCTTAATTCTCAGCTTGTTGTGCTTCTCTTCTAGGTACATAGCCAATAGCATCTGGGTTCTGTTTTCTTAATGAGCATGTGCCTTTGTAACACTCATGAGTTCATGCGTCTGTGCAGAACTTTACTTAGGAGAAAACAACAGAAACAGTCTGAATTATTAATCAGCAAAATTAGTAAAAGTGGCTTTCTAAAATTTTTATGCTTTGTTAAAATATTGGGACAATATCCGTCTCATATTTAAATAGGAGGTTGGTTTTCCACACGTAGCCTCTTGTTACCTGGGAAGTCTATCAGTACAACATGTTCTTCTTGTCTCTTCTCTCAAACTCTTGTCTCTTTTACATTTCTCAGTCCTTCTCACAGTCATCCCCCCAAATTACATGGACCCACTGTATCGCTGTGCTGCAATGTGTGTTTGTGTGTATATACTTGTAGGGGTCGTCCTTCCACGCCACCCACATCCCACGAGTTCCATATTGTCCTAGGGGTTAAAGCATAAGACGCGCACACACACAGATACAGAGTTCCAGTCATCCTCAAGAAAAGAATGCCCCTTTATTCAGCTAAATCCAGGGTTAAAATACCTTTGGCCCCAGTAAAGGAAAACTCCTCCCACCCAGAGGGGGCTGGGGAAACTGGCCTCTGTGGGAGTTTTTCCCCAGGCAGGTGGTCGAGGGTTTAAGGCAATGTCAGACAGGTTAGATGGGCCTTGGCGCCTGAGCTTCTTTGAGGCAGGTTGAGAAATTACCATTTTAAAGTAAAATAGACCCCTCAGGCTAATGTACCAGGCTGTAGCAGAACCAAGGACAGAACTAGCAGGAAGCTTAGCTGGTTAGCGTAAACATTATTTGCATCCAGTATTTTGGCCTCAAGGATCAGGGAGGACAGGTTCCCACATAAACTGAATATTCCTGGAAGCCAAAAGTCTACATTTTCACTTTCTCCCATTTCTCCAGTCCTCTCCAACTACCATCTCCTCCAAAAATTTACTCCCAAAACCTTTTTGCTAAAATTACCAGAAAACACCTAGGTATCAATTCAAAAAAGAAATGTTGTTCCTCAGCTCTTGCAGTCTCTTCAGCAGCCGTGAATATCTCCTAGACTACTCTCTTCAGGGTTCCATGTGACAGTCTGGATTATCCTTTCTTTCTGAAGACTCTTTTCATCTTGTTTTATAGATATCTATTTTTTTTTTTACTTCTTTAATATGTTCAAAATGTAAAGCTAAGCCATTATTCTCTCGATCGATTTTTAGCAATTTAGATGATGGCATGCATATATAAAGGTTCAATGAAGGTCTATCTACTGGTGAATTCAAAATTTTTAATCAAAAGCATGACCTTTTCAATATGAGCTTCAGATCCATATTTTATGAGCTGCATGGGCCCATTGGATACGCTGTCTTAGAATTCTCAAAACAACCTAATTTCAGCATGTATCTACAACACAAACTTCTATTGTTTCTAACAAATTGAGTCGAACAATTGTGTGAAGGTTAGAAAGAAATGGGCTCTTTACCCAGCTGTTGCTCAGACTCCTTCTATTGAAGGCATTAGGTTGTTCTATCTGATTTTCTCTTAAAGAAATTTCAAGTACAGAAGAAAAACTAAGGTTTTCTCTGAAATAGTCATCTTACTGGACACAGCTCTCACTGCGCAACTTACGTCCAATAGCCTCCTAACACTGTGAGCAGAGACAGAAGCTTGCCAGGCAGGACGAGGACCACACATCAGCAGCTGAAATAATGTTCCTGCCAGGAATAAGCCTGGGAGAGAATTATGCTTCCTGGTTCCTTGTTATGTCTTCGAAATGAGCATCCCCAGCTCTAAGCTACATGTGAAGGTGTGACCTAAGCTGACAGGAAGCCCTTGCACACCTCATGGTTTGGCTGGCTGGACTAGCTACCTCTCCATGGATCATTCATCATCAGTTATATTAAAAATTTCCGACCGCCAGCTCAGTCTCACACCCTTTCTGGGGAACTGTCCTCTTGGTATAGGCTCTCTGTTTCCTATCTTTCTCTTAGGCTCACAGATAAGAATCTATAATAAAATTTCTTTCTAAAATGCACCTTCTGTGGTTAGTGTATTTCATAACTGATTTGCAAAGATGGAGTTTGTGGTTACTAACTCAATGGAAGGTCTGTATTTTCATGAGTATTGAGACTCATAACTCATGATTTGAAGCCCACCTAAGGGGGAAAAAAGGAAAACCTCCTTCAAACTCAGACCCTACACTTTCCACTTATCTGCATGGCCAAAAGTGTCAATGCAATTTTTCATGTTTTCCCATTGTAATTCTTGGTACACTGTGATTTTATTTGGCCCTTTAGATATCATCAAACATCACACAAGGCAGGACAAAAACCTATCTTATCGTTCACATGTAGTTTTGATCTCCCAGCTGCACATGAAACAGTATCAGCTTGCCTTATTGATGAGACACTGTAGCCGAGGTTTTTTAAAAAATTTATTTATTTATTTATTTTTGTCATCAGGCAGCCTAGGACCACTTTGTGTATGTTGAGTCATGTAACTGACTGTATTCTGACAGCATATAAGTGAGACAGCTTAGCTGAGTCCAGGATGTATTTCTGATTCACAGAATGATGAGAAATTTAAATGGTTTCTTTAAGTCATCATGAAGATGTTTTGAACAAATCCTTGCCTACACATTAAGCTGTATTTTTTGAAGAGCAGTCTCAGCATATAATCTCTACTTAATCTTCTGATAGCTGTCAATTGCCTTTTTCACAACATCACCAGACAAGTAAGTAAAAATAAAAGACAGCATTTTATGCCATCTAAGAACATCTCAAATTTACTCTTTTGCTAGATATTCCCTTATCTCTACACAGTTGTAGATACTGTTTATACATGTTTCTCTCTGTACAACCTAATGTTTCCCAAACTTATATGTTCACCTGTATTTTTCTCCATTTAAGTATTATTGATCCTTCCATTTTGTAGTCAAGTCATCACTTTCATGGGAGAAATTAAATTAATCACTGGCAAAATCATACCACACTGTTATAGTATCTTCTAATACAATGTACCTGTCTTTACTGAAGACTTTTAAATTTTGGTTTCGCCTACATGTGTTTACTACTCTGATTTTTTTTTTTTTTTGGTAGACTATTAACTTCAGTAATGAACTGACTCTTGTGTTTTCACTTTCTTGCTTGCAATGACTGACACAGTGTCTGGAACATAGAAGAGACTTAATAAGTACTTGAAGAAGAAATGAATGATCAGAAAATAAATTCATTGAGACATGTTCATAACATTTCAGAATCTATCATTTCTTAATTATTACACCAACTGACACATTTTAGTTGAGAAATTGATTCTGTATAATGAAGATGCACAGGTTATTGAAGTTTAGTATGCTTAAGAATCCATTGAGTCGCTGAGTTAATGTGCAAATCATCCATCCCTTCGAACAAAGAATGGAGTCAGCAGTATCTCAGGTGCAAGCCACAGGTTTGCACTTGCAGGAAGCACTCAGCGTGATATAAATGTCCACTGAAAAGGCTTCATAGAATTTACTTTGAGAAACATTTTTCTGCTGAATTTTACACTCTCATTTTAAATAAAACTGTGTTTTTCTACTACATTTAGAATATTTCTAGTCATTTATAGAAAATCACCCAGAATATCAAGATGCTATCAATACATGTTTTCTAATTTCTCCCATCTACTTATGTCACTTTTATGTCTTTCATTCGATGATGATTTTACATGATGTGGCCCAGAGTAGGCGATGAAGAAAGAAATGGATTGATAGTGGGTTGATAATAAATTGAGAGATAGATTTTGAGAATGACCCTAAGTCCTAAGGAGACATACATAACAAGTCAAGTAAAGGCAGACAAGTAGTATACTTAACCAGTCTTTTAAAACCCAGACCTCAGAATACTCATTTCCTGAGAAGAACTTGGAATACATTGCAAGTCTTTTTGGAACCTCAGAGTTTACTTATTCAATTTGTCTTCTAATTGGCCGGATCTAGATCTTTATGCTGTGAGTGATTTCCTCCCTCCCATCACTCAGGTTAACTTTCCTCTTCCAGTTTGGCTAAATGTAAAGGCAACAATCTACAAACTACTACTTAATATGAACGAAAACTGATTATTTTAAAAAGTGCTGTTTTAACAGCAAGATAACACTTTCTATCAAAAATAGGACCAAGAATATGATTATATGAGTGGACATCCTGTTTTGTTTTGCAGTCTTAATTTTCTCCCTAAAAGCTCAACTTTGCTGAGTGAACTTGTCTTTAATAGAGTGAAGCGTTAGAATAGACAGATCTTCTGGATGTTTTAATAAGGTTACAAGCTAATATATTTCAACTGCATAAGACACGATAATTTTCTATTATTGTGCAATAATTTCTGTACAACTAAAATGCTATCATCTAAACTGAGCACACACTTGTTTTAGCTGGAACATGTAACATTTTTCCACAATAGGTTGAAAACAACAAAGATTAGATAAAACTAGGAGATGAACTTGTCCTTTGAGGTAAATAACATTATTAGTTTAATTCAGTACTAAAAATAACCAGAAGAAAGAATAGAAGAAGACAAGATAAAACTAAAATTAATAGCATTAAGAATGTACAGGAAAGTCCTTTTATTGACTATCTTTGCTTAACTGCAACTCTAATTTCCTTTTGAAAATCAGAAATATAGGCTGCTTAGGAATTAGTTGCTGATCGCCTTCCCCTATGTGTATGCATGTCTTTCAATGGACACACACATATTTCTGTGTTTATGGGCACAAATTTAGTTTTTGCACAGAATTTGTAAAATTATATGAAAATGTATTCATGCTGTGTTTTTTTCTCTTGAGTTTGTACCAGCATCAAGGCAGTAATAAGACATTAGAGGTGACTATTATTTCTATGATTACACAGAAGATATGTAAGATTGTAAGAGGAAAATGGCAATGTTTTCCTTTTCTGTACTTTTCAGTGAGTAGAATGAGAGTTTTCCATTGTAATGTTCCAGTTATTGAGATTTTTTGAGTTCTTCAATAGTAGAGCTTGCTCAGCAAATGTCATAATCTGATATGGAACAACCAAAGCTCTTAAAATTGTAAAATCACAAAGCTCATACCTTTTAAGCTCTTACAATATCCGTAAACAGGCTTATCTACTAATCATTATATTCAATATTAATCACATTACATTAGGTAAAATTTACAAAGTAATTTCAAGGTATATTGAAAGCATTCCTTACGTGTTGAATTTGGTTTTACATGTTGTCAAGCAAGACAACATATCTTAATAACGTTCTCAGGCATGTTGGTAGGAGATAGGACAATGTTGGTACAGTCATGATTTGACAGGAAAGCTTTACCGAAGTTGATAACTCCCCAGATAATTGGTAGAGTTATTGTGGTAAGGCATTGTTCCTAGAAAGGCTGAGTTTTTGCTAATTGATAGTGAAAATGATAGACCTTTGCTTTGAAGAGAATTATGTCCACAACTTTTCAATGCTGTTAGCTGTTGAAAGATAAATGCATTGTAAATGATTCCTTTTTTCAGAATACATGGCAGAAACACAAGATCCAAGAGAATAACTTTCTCACATTTATATTCTGTATTTGCTATAGGAGTCAGTGGATTTGTTACTTGGAAATTCTTAAATAGAACCTAACCCAGAAATCCCTGAATCCAAGTGTTGAAAAGTCTCTTGTTAAGTATGGTATGTTTGTGTTTTGGGATATAAAACAAACAGCTGTATTGGAACAATTTTCAGGTTGTTAACATATGGAAGGCATAACAATAAAAATGCATCAGAACAAACCATTCTTAGAAGATTATAAATGTAAGCTCTTTGAAACAAGATACTGTTTATAAAAACAATTGCATCATGTTCTTCTTTTCAGAAAGTACACCCACTTCTGAGACGTGTTAAATACTCCTATGGGAAGAAGAAATAGTTTTTTAAGAGTTGCTAGTTAGCAGACAATCTAAAATTATTTTCCTAGGATATTGACTTGCAAACTTCTGTGTTCACTTACCAAATTTTCTCTACCATTTTTTTAAAGCTAACATATGCGTAGTAATTAAATTCAGGCTTTGTTGTTGGATTTAGTGAATTTCATTGGTAAGGTCTTGATGTGAAGATAATGTTTGAAATAAGACACTAGGACCTATCGGTAGGTCTAGATCTAGCCATTAACTAGGTGAATATCCTTTGAATATACGATTCAGGACCCAGAACCTATTATGGGATGGGCTGAGGAGATGTGTAATCCTTTGCACACTAGAGAACAGCAAAAAAGACAATCTGGTAAAAAATATTTAAAGCAGAATTATTTGCTCTTTATTTATTTTGTTTTGCATTTGTATTGCTTTTGGTGTAGAATGATACTACATACAATGAGGAAACTAATACTTCAATAGTTGTCTACTTTGCTAAAAATACTGCTATAATGTCAACTGTGGTATCTCATGTTGGTAATTCCAGTAATTCTTTGGAGCCTGATCCAGAAAGATAATGAGTTTAACACAATACTGGTCTACACAACAATTTCCATGGCAGCTTGAGTTACATAGACAGGGTTCATCTCAAGAAAACAAAACAAAGATAGACCTACACTAAGCAACAATTCAACAAATCTAAGCTCCATTTTCTTTTTTATAAAATACTGAAACAATTTACCAGAAAATATGAAATCCCCATTGAAGGTTAATGATATAACTCTACATGTATATTTTACCAAGTACATGGTGATGGAGATGGGTAAAAAGACAGTGTTGTCCACTCTGTCCCAAGCCATCCTCATCTTGCAACCTCAGAGAAGCTCTGAAATACAGGCTGTAAATTCACAGAAAGGACACAGAGGTGAGTGAACACACACAAGGCAGGACACCCCACTCTCTAGGCCCTCCATACTGGGGCAAAACCCCAGGCCCCTTCCCCACCTGCCTCAGCTTCTCTAGCCAGACAGCAGGCACAAACAAAAACACAGGCAACAGATAACCTCATACCAGCAAACCCTACGAAGGGAAACACACAAACCCTACTACCAAAATATAACAGGTGTTAACACTCTCTGGTCATTAATATCTCATAATATAAATGCATTAAACTCACCTTTAAAAAGACGCAGGCTAAGAGAATGGATACGAAATCAGGATCCATCCTTCTGCCGAATACAAGAAACACACCTCAACCTCAAAGACAGACATTACCTCAGAATAAAGGATTTGGAAAAGATTTTCCCATCAAATCGACCTAAGAATCAAGCAGGTATAATTATCCTAACATATAACAAAATAGATTTTAAACTAAAATCAGTCAGAAGAGATGGAGAAGAATACTTTATACTCAATTGTGAACATCTATGCCCCAAACACAAGAGCACCCACATATGTAAAAGAAACATTACTAAAGCTTAAATCACACATCAAGCCACATGCACTAATAGTAGGAGATTTCAACACCCTACTCTCTACAATGGACAGGTCAACCAGACAGAAACATAACAAAGAAAAAAGAGAACAAACATCTGTCAAGACTCAAATGAACTTAATAGACATCTACAAAACATTCCACCCAAACACAAGAGAATATACCTTCTTCTCAGCACCTCATGAAACCTTCTCTAAAATTTACCACATGCTCGGTAACAAAACAAACCTCAACAGATACAAAAAATAAAATAGGAATAAACCCCTGTATCTTATCGGATCACCATGGTTTAAAGCTAGAATTTAGCAATAACAGTAATTGCAGAAAGATTACAAACTCATGGATCTTGAGCAGTGCTCAATTGAACCACCCCCTGGGTCAAAGAATAAGTAAATAAAAAAATTAAAGATTTTCTAGAATTCAACAAAAATGAAGGCACATTGTACCCAAGCCTATCGAACACTATGAAAGCAATGCTCGGAGAAAAGTTCATAGCCTAAGTACCTACATAAACAAAGTGAAGAAATCTCACACTAGTGAATTATTAGCACACCAGAAAGCTCTATAAAAGAAAAAGAAACAGACTCATGCAGGAGGAGTAGACAACAGGAAATAATCAAATTGTGGCTGAAATCAATAACTTAGAAGCAAAGAAAACAATACAAAGAATCAATGAAACAAATAGCTGATTATTTGAGAAAATCATAACATAAAATATTTTGGGCTAACTCTAAGCCAAGAAATGAAAGAGTTGTTCAACAAGAACTTTAAGTCTTTAAAGAAAGAATTGAAGATAAGAGAAAATGGAAAGATCTCCTATGCTTTTATATAGGAAGGATCAACATAGTAAAAATGACAATCTGACCAAAAGCAATTGATAGATTCAATACAGTCCCCACCAAAATCCCAATACAATTCTTTATAGACTTTGAAAGAACAATTTAGTGTTATTTCAAATTTATTTTAATAGATAAAGGCTTCCAAAAGACCTCAGCATAAAACAGTGCCACTGGTCAGCTTTACAGACCAGATTATGGTAACACACACTTTTAAACCCAGTAGCCACAATGACATGCACCTTTCATCTCAGTAGCCACCCTAGTAGTCATAGAAATCGAGTGGTGCATGCCTTTAATCCCTGTGGTGCATGCCTTTAATCTCAGTACTAAAGAGGAATATAAGACAGGGTGAGACAGCTCTCAAACAGAGTCTTATTCTGAGATCCTGGAGGCAGGTTCACCATTTCAGGCTGAGGTCGAGGTAAGAGCCAGTAGTTGACTGCTCATCAGGCTGAGCCCCAATTCCTGACCCTGAGTTTTTATTAATTGTGCTACAAAACAATCATCAATTTCATTTCATAATCAGCAAGATAGCCAAAACTATATTGTGCAATAAAAGAATTTCCAGAGGGATCATCATCCCTGAAATCAAACTCTATTATAGAAGTACAGTAATGAAAACAGCTTGGTTGGCATAAAAACAGATAGATTGTCAAATGGAACAGAATCAAAGACCAAGATATTAATCAACACACTATGAACAACTGATTTTTTGACAAAGAAGCTAGAATTACACAGTAAAAAGAAAAGAAAACATCTTCAAAATGATGCTGGCATAACTGGATGCCAACATAAAGAAAAATGCAAATAGATACATATCTTTCCCCATGCACAAACTCTAGTTCAAATAGATTAAAGACCTCAATATGAATATGACCACACTAAATACAATACCAGAAACACAGACACTGAAAGCAACAATAAATAGATGGGACCTATTGAAGCTGAGAAACTTCTGTAAAGCAAAGAACACAGTCAATAAGACAAAAAGGCAGCCTACTGAATAGGAAAGGATCTTCCCTAACCCCACATCGGAGAAAGGACTGATCTCCAAAATATATAAAGAACTCAAGAAATAATACATCAAAATTCCAAATACTCTAATTGAAAAATGGGGTACAGAACTAACAGAGAATTCTCAAAAGAATTGCAAATGGTTGAAAAATACTTAAGAAAATTTTCAATATTCTTAGCCATTGCAAATCAAAACAAATTCTGAGAAACCATCTTACCCCAGTCAGAATGTCTAAGATAAAAATTACCTATGATAGATAATGCTGGAGAGGATCTAGAATAAGTGAAATACTCCTCCATTGTTGGCAAATCAAAATCAGTAGAGAGGTTCCTCAGAAAATACAAATCAACCTAACTCAGGACTCAGCAATAACATTTTGGGGTATATATTCAAATGATGATGCTCTATTACACCACAAGAACATCTGTTCAACTATGTTTTTAGCAGCATTATTTGTAATAGTAAGAAACTGTAAACAACCTAGATGCTCCTCAACCAAAAAATAGATAAAGAAAATTAGGTACATTTACACAATGGAATGTTACTCAGCAGGAAAAACAATGACATATTGAAATTTGCATGCAAATGGATGGAAATAGAAAAAAAAAACACCCCGAGTGAGGTCACCCAAACACAGAAAGATGAACATGGTATGTACTCACTCAAAAGTGGCTAGCTGTAAAGCAAAGAATAAGGAGCCTATGAATTCAATGATCCAAGAGAAGCCAAGTAATATGATGAACCCTAAAAGAAGCATATATAGATCTACCAGAAAAGAGGAAATAGATCAGAACACCTGACAAAATTCGGAGCATGGTGGAGGGGGAAGGAAAGGAGAAATGAGAACTTGATGGAACTGGATAGTTGAGTGGAGAAAGGACAGAGATGAGAGCAAAGATAAAGATATTTTGATTGAGGGAGCCCTTATGGGGTTATCAAGAAATCTGGCACTAGAGAAATTACTAGGAATCCACAAGGATGACCCCAGCTAAGACCCTAAGCAATCGAGGAGAAGGTACCCTGTTACAAGGAGAGGGAGAGGGCCGCTTGTCTATCCCGGCCGCCCGGCTAGCTTACACCTGAAATAATCACATAGAAATTGTATTAATTTAAACACTTTTTGGCCATTAGCTCTAACTTCTTATTGGCTAACTCTTACGTATTAGTTTAAGCCATTTCCATTAATCTGTGTATTGCCACATGCCAGTGGCTTACCGGAGATTCTAGCTGGAGTCTCAGGCAGGGGATCCATGACTTCTCCCACTCTGCCCTTCTTCCCAGCATTCAGTTCTGTCTTCTCTGCCTACCTAAGTTCTGCCCTATCAGGCCCAAAGCAGTACTTTATTCATTAACCAATGACAGCAACACATGAACAGAAGAACCTCCTACACCGGTATCCAAACTGACCTTGCCCTGTGGTAAGATTGATGAATACCTTAAATGTCACCATAGAACCTTCATCCAGCAACTGACAGAAACAGAGGCAGAGACTCACAGTTTAGCACTGGGCTGAACTCCCAAGTGCAGCTGAATAGTGGGAGACATGACAATATGAGAAAAGGGGTCAAGACCATGGTGGGAACACTCACTGCAAAAGTTTACCTGAGCTACTGGGAGCTCACCAACTCCAACCAGACAGGGAAGGAACCAGGATAGGACCAAGCTAGATCCTCTGAATTTGGGTGACAGTTGTATGGCTGAGGCTAACTTCAGGGACACTGGCAGTGGCACTAGGATTAAACCCTACTGCTTGTACTGGCTTTTTGGGAACCCATTCTCTTTGGATGGATATCTTGCTCAGTCTAGATATAGTAGGGAGGGCCTTGGACATTACCTAAAGCAATATGCCTTAACCTTTCTGAGAAATAGATGGGAGTCGGGTGAGGGGAAAGGTGGAGGGAATGAGAGAAGAGGAGGAAGTGGGAACTGAGATTGGTATATAAAATGAAAAACATAGTTTGTTATATTTTTAAAAAAATAAAAAAAGAAGAGAGCCTTATCAGTATATTTTTAGCACATCCTATTAAAAACTTATCATTGTGTAGACCATAAGATGTGTGTAGACATAAGATGTACATGAGAAATATAAATACTGAGATGTTAAAACAAACAAGCAAGCAAACAAACAAAACTTTAGTTTCCAAATCTGCAACCTGACTGAGGCTGTTGCCTTGTCCTGGATCTCAAAGCCATCTATCCTGAAGTGACTCACTTGGTTTCACTTTATTAGTACGATTTTCAGATGCTTTTTATTATACATTTATATTTCATCTAAATAAAAAGACGTAGATTTTTCTGTGTAGTCAAGAGCATGGTCATATTTTCTGTTCTTGTCTATCTCACTTTTGATGAAGTTACCAGGGATATTTTGGGGTCTAGCTGTCACATATTGAAGTGATTCACTTTCTCACTTATATATTGAGTCACTTTTTCACTATCTATGCACATATAAAAACAGAGTATTGGAATATTTCACACAAAATATATAAACTAAATAAAAGGAAGATTATTGTGGTACCATGGGGTTTGTGGATATATCTTAACTGGTATATCATATGATTTGTATATGCTAAGACATGGCCACAATCAATATGTAATAGTAATAATAGATAGGGTGTTATTCATTTAATATGAATATATTCTATGGTGTTATTTTCATGTGGTCAGTGATAGGTAAGTCTATTTTTAAGTATATGGTTTCATTATGCATTCTATATAATTTTTTGTGATATTCTATTTGTCACCTTTTGCAAAATTTAAAGATCTTAAAATAATTTTGCTAATATATTAATTATAGACCAACCTATATATGATATCAATAGGGTAATAATGGAGTTTTAAAGAGCAACATGTTATGGTTTGCAACTCTGGAT